ATGATGATGATGATGATGATGATGATGATGATGATGATGATGATGATGATGATGATGATGATGATGATGACGAGGAGGAGGAGGAGGAGGAGGAGGAGGAGGAGCGAGTGAGGAGGGTGGTGATGAGGGAGGTCGTCTTCGTCCCCCCCACTGTCAGGTGCCTCGCCCACCTGGGCGTCGGAGCTGCGGACGGCGCGGCCCTGGTGGCGCACCACCAGGACGACGCGGACGAGAACAGGCTGGCGGAGCTGGGCAAGGCCGGCCGCCCGGGCCAACGACGACGACGACGACGACAGCAACGACGACGACCACGGCGGCGGCGGCGACAGGTGCGACGAGGACGACGACGAGGATGACGACGACGATGACCTGTACGAGGAGGGAGACCTGGACGAGGGCGACGAGGGCAACGACTACGACTACGACGACGAGGACGACAATGACGACGACGAGGACGACGATGACGACGACGACGAGGACGACGACGAGGACGACGACGAGGACGACGAGGACGACGACGACGACGCGGAGGACGACCAAGACAAGGACGACGAGGGCGACGACGAGGGCGACGACGCCGACGCTGACGCCGACGCCGACGACGACGACGTGGGCGAGGAGGACGACGTTGGCGAGGAGGACGATGAGGTTGGAGAGGACGTGGGTGAGGACGAGGGCGAGGACGGGCAGGGCGAGGGCGGGCGCGAGGAGGGGGGGAGGGGCGAGGAGATGGAGGGGCACGCCTTGGGCTCTCGCGCCTCCAGGGCGCCTCGGGGGTCGCGAGGAGGAGGAGGAGGAAGAGAAGGAGGAGGAGGAGGAGGAGGGTCACTGTGCCCATGGAGGGAAAGTCCGAGGGGGAGAGAGGAACATGAGGATGGGGGGCCCATCCGAGGAGAACTTTTTGTCCGTTTGACCCGCTCCAGCGCCGAGGGCGGTGATGCCAATGAGCAGTAGGCCACGCAGAGCTTGCATCGCGACCGCTGCCCTGGGCCATCGGGTGCCCCCGCAGGAGCGCGTGAAAGATTCCTCGGAGCGCCGGGGGCGAATGCTGCGAAAGCTGGTCGAGGCAGCCAGGCCTGGGAATGGGCCGTCCTTCTGCCTCGGCCTCGAGTCTCTGGAGTCGGGGCGGGAGGTAAGCTCCGCCTTGCGCCAAAATGGCTACGAAGGGCGGAGGATGAGGAGGGACGAGCGAGGAGGAGGAGGAGGAGGAGGAGGAGGATGAGGAGGAGGAGGCCGACCAGTGTAAACCCAAGAGTTATCAACGATGTTGGAATCAACCCTTCCTCCAAGCTCCCTCTTCATAGGCCCTTATAACGGTTCATTTTCATTGAGGGAGCCGCCTCCTTGGAACGCAACCGTTTGAAGACCCTGAAGCATGCCAAAACATTGTTCTCGGGATTTCAACGCCACGGATCAACCTGACTGCTGCGTTTTGACGATCCGGAATCTTGCCATAACGCCATTTTTGGGACTTCAACGCCGCGAATCAACAGAACTGCTGCTCCCGCATAATCGGGAATCTCTTCAAACACACAAATTCTGGCACGTTGTTGATGGGAACCAGTGAAACTCTTGCAACTTTTGCGCGGCGCTAAGGCGAGAAACACGTTTTAAAAAGGAACCGCCCTCAATCCGTCAAATTCGTGCATTTTTTTGTGCAACGAATGTGCGCGGCGCTAGGGCGAGAATCACAATTTGAAAAACGACCCGTCCTCAATCCGTGAAGCTCGTGCGAATTTTGAAAAACTAATGTGCGCGGCGCTAAAGCGAGAAACACATTTTGAGAACCACCCGCCCTCGATCCGTGAAGCCCTTGCAAATTTTACAACGAATAATGTGCGTGGCGCTAAGGCGAGAGCCATATTTTGAAATCGACCCGCCCTCAATCCGTGAAGCTCCTGCCAATATTGAAAACGAATGTGCGCGACGCTGAGGCGAGAACCACATTTTGAAAACCACCCGCCCTCCATGTGTGAAGCTGTTGCCACTTTTTAAGCTTTAGAGTCATAACTGGTGAAGTAGTCTCAGGCGAAACGCCCGGCCCGCCCTAAAAACTAGCCTCGGGGTGCGACAGGGAGAATTTGTTGTTAAACAGGTAAAGGAATGGAGGAGGAGGAGGAGAAGGAGAAGGAGGAGGAGGGTCGCCGCAGGGCAACATACTCAACATCGACGGCATGTCTGTGCGCAGCACCATGCTGGGCGTTGACGTGGTTTCGCCCCTTCCCTGTTTCCCAGCCGCGCTTGTCAGAGGGAGTAGGGGGATGAGGCGGACGGAGGAGTGGGACAAGGGAGCCCGCAATCATGTTGGGTCCAGCTCCCACGGCTCCCATGCAGGGCAGGGGCCATTTTGTTCCGATCGAGCCAATTCGAACTCGATTCCGGCTTGCCCGATCCGATCCGATCCGATCCGATCCCGACTTTCCAGCGATGCGTTGCGGCCAGATGCTTACATGGCGCTGGCGTGTGCACTTGCGCGGCCGATTCGACTCGGCTCCGACTCCGTGCCGATGTGGTCCGAGCCGACGCGCATACCGACTCGACCCGATTTCTCGATCCGATGCTGACTTATCCTGCAGGCCGCTCGAGACGGGCCCCCGCTTGACGCCGAACACGGCGCGCCTGGAGGTTTCCAGACCCCTTCCCTCGGGTGCGGCCAAGAGGAGGGTGATGACTAGGGGAGGGGATGTCATGGCCAGGGCCATGATACATCCCCAGATTTCATGGCGCCTCTTCTTACCATGCCTCGGGCCATGATTTGCGACCCTCCCTCTTGGACGCCCCCCTCTTGGACGCCCCCGATCCCCGTTGCGGAAATGCACGGCGGGATGTTCTGGGCAGTCTTCCGAGTCCTGGGCCCGTGTCGGGCCCCGGGGCCGTCAAGAATGATGCCTGCGGATGAAAAGCCTGTCCTGGGGAAGGGTCGACGCTTCTCGATGCCCACGCTGCGAAGAAGACGTGGCCCCCGGCGTCCTCCAGTACGGTCGGACCGAGGCATAATATCGACGTTGGTTCGGGGAGGGTGTTCTTTGTGTTAGTTGGGTGTTCTTGCGCATCCTGGGGGAGGGTACCCTCGAATGTTCTTCAGTTTGGCCGGCGGAGGGTCTCATGCTCTTGGAGGATGCTCTCTGTCTTAGGTCCAGCCCTATGCTTTTCCCAATCTCTGCGGCCTCAGAGCTTCCGACCCCTTCCCTGGAGGGCAGCTTTTCGTCCCGGACTCGGTCGTGCTCGCCCCCCGGGCCCGATCGTGGCCCCCGAGGATGGCGTTCGGGGCAAACCCGCCAGCTGAGACAGTTTCATCGGCGGAGACTTGGGTCTGGGCCCGCGACGCACCCGTCCCCTCCCCAAACATTGGCACTTGGCGCTCCTGGAGATCGGGGTCCGACCCCTCCCGAGAGCTCTCGGGCTGCGGCTCGGCCAGCTGCGCCGCAGCTGGGGCATCCCGCCGCGGCGGGAGGGCACGGTTGCCCACCAGGCCTCCGGCGTGGTTTCTTTGCCGGCGCGGGCCCGGGAGCCTCCCTGAGATCGGCCGCCGCGCAAAACAGACATCTCCGCCGCGGAAGCTGCACGGGCAGGCACTGTCACGGGTGGTTCTCTTGGTGTCGTTCTGCTCGTGCCCCATGTGCGTGTCGAGGTTCTCTGCAAGAGTCTGCCTGCTTATTTGAGGTCGGCTCGTGTGGCGTTCTGGGTTATAGCTTGGCGACTCTCTGATTCGCACTACGGCCACACAGAAGTAGCCGACCAGTCGGACTCTGGTCGTCGCGCTCTCTCCTCCTCCTCCTCCTCCTCCTCCTCCTCCTCCTCCTCCTCCTCCTCCTCCTCCTCCTCCTCCCCCTCCAACTCTGGGCCTCCTCTACACCCTTCTCCTCCTGCTCGAGCGATTCCTATGTATTCGGCCCAGTCGATTCGAGGTGAACGCCTTTTTTCATTGTTCATGTTTCTTGTCAAAAGCCCCCTTTTTAATTCATCCCCGATCGCCTTGACCTTTGGAGCGAGAGTCGCCGATCCCAGTAGCTGACGCCCAATTCTAGGCGCGCTGTGGTGGTCGGTCTTCTACTTACATTCTTGGCGCTGCATGCTTCGGTTGGGCAACCTCCCAGCGCCACTGCCCCACATCAATCTTACTTCTTTCAGCATTGTCATCGCAGTTTGAGCCGATGATTTCCGCTCTGGGCTGGGGAAGCTGTGCGGGCGGATATTCATCATTGCACTTTCTCTGAATTCGGGAGAAATCCAGCGGGCGACCCCTTTTCCCCACGTTCCCGCGGCATTG